TTGGATAAGTAATAACAGATTTATCACAACTATACAGCTATTGTGTAAATCTTGCTGTAATTGTACCACCTGCCCTATTTGGTTACTGTCACTGGAACTGGGTCATGTAAAAAGATCCATATACTCTATTAGTATGGGATATGACCACCAATAACTGATTATCACAATTACTTTGTGGTACAGATGTGTAGGTGATAAGCATATTAAATTAGCTGATGATTTTTCTTCTCTGTAAAAAAATGTCAGCAATTTTACAATATGGATGTTATTTAATGGTATATTTCCTCAGATGTGTTAGTAAGGCTATACATCAACAATCCTACATTCTCTGGTTACCTTAAACTGAATTCAGGGGATATGTAAAAATACCACTTGATCTAATTTTACATTCATTAGAAATGAGTAAATGCAGCTTTTCTATAATAATATATTTTAATGAAACAACATTCATTTTACAAAGGTTCCATATATAAAAAAGAAGACATACACAAAAACCCACATTAAATAGGCAAATTGTTAGTAGCAGTGGCTTAAAATAATTGTAACAAAATGGTTGTTGGTTGTTCCCTTTTGTGGGTAACGTTTCTCAGAAAACACTGTTTGGAAGACTTTTTTTAAATTCCATCAAGATTATAAATGGGGTCTTCCAGGCTTTCGTGATATCCGTCTTGCAGCTATTTAGGTATAAGTAAACAATTTAAACTAACTTTTCAAAGATTTTTCAGGTTTCTTGCTTAACGTTTACAAAACTCAGGAGTTAAATCGTAAAAATACATTCAAATACCCTATTGAATAACAAAAATATATCTTATTTGTGTATCACTCTGCTGTAGATCCTCAAATCAGCTCTAAATGTCTACTGACATTGTCCTTCCTTCTGAAGTGTCCCTACTTTTATTCGCTGTGGTCGCTGTGTGTGTGTTGTAAAGTAGTTACCACTCCAAGGTCACTCCTCTAATGGACTACAATGTCACGTTTAGTTTACTAATTTTGTATTAAGATTGTAGTACATCACAAGAATGAGCTTGGAGCAGTGACTACTTTACAAAACACATAAAGATCATGGGGAACAAAAGTAGCCACCCTCCAGATGAACTGACAGTGTCAGTACCAAATCAGAGATAATTTGAGGATGTACAGCTGAGTGATACACAAATAAGATACATTTTTATCAATAATTAAGGTACTTGAACACATTTTTAAGATTTAACTCCTGAGTTTAGTGTCACTTTAATAAAGCTCCAAATGGGTTCTTTTGAAGGGTATGCTCTATTGCTGCATAAATGATTTAGTACACTCAGACCTAAAAACATCTCACCTTTTTGACATGCCAACTATATATAAGTAAATGTAGATTTACATAGCACTAGAATATATAAATGAAACAATCCTGATATCAGTCTCCTTCAAGCCCCTGCACAATACAATTAGACTGAGAGGGTGTAGCAGCACTTTAAGACGTTTGCACCCTACTGCTTTGCATGGTAGTTTCAGTCAAAAACAGGAACATGCTTTTAGCAGAGGAAAATATATGTTGCCTCATTAGTGTGCTGCTACATTATCCAATCACATTACAGGCTAGGGTAGGTGTTGATGTATGTCTTATTCCAAAAAGTGTATGTATATCCAAAATATTTTTAAGCTTTGGACAGAGAGAGAGGCAGCATGGATTGAGAGGAAATCTCTACAGGGGACAGTTGTCTTAGGAACAGGTATACCCATTGGAGGATTTACAGCCAGGTTATAGTGAGACCATTATTCCTCATTTTCAAGGACTCCTTAATGACTGGTAGAGTACCAAGTGACTGGCGGAAAGCCACAGTAGTACCGATATTCAAAAAAGGGTCAAGATGCCAACCTGGGAACTACAGATCAGTCAGTCTAACATCAATAGTATGCAAACTGTTAGAGGGAATGATAAAGGACTACTTAGTAGAGTTTGTTCACGAAAATGGTATAATAAATTATAATCAGCATGGATTTAGGAAGGACCGTTCTTGTCAGACCAACCTACTAACATTCTACAAAGAGGTAAGTAGAGATCTGGATGGAGGGAGGCTGGTGGATGTGGTATATCTGGATTTTTTAAAATCGTTTGACACAGTACCACATAAACGCTTACTACAGAAGCTGAGGTCTATCGTCATAGAGGAAATGGTGAGTACATGGATAGAGAATTGGCTACAGGAACGTGTCGAGAGAGTATCGGCAAATGGCTCCTTTTCAGATTGGTCTAAGGTTGCGAGTGGCGTGCCTCAGAGTTCAGTGCTAGGCCCCATACTATTCAACCTGTTTATTAACAATATTGGGGAGGGCGTGAATAGCCATGTTTCCGTGTTTGCTGATGATACTAAAATCGGGAGGGTAATGGACTTAGAAACTCTAACATTACAGGAGGACCTGGTTAAAATAGGGGGGAGTGGGCAACTATTTGGCAGATGAGGTTTAATGTTGATAAATGTAAAGTAATGCACTGTGGGGTTAAAAATAGGCAAGCAGAATACACATTAATGGGAACTCCACTAGGGAAGTCAGAAATGGAAAAGGATCTGGGGGTCATTGTAGACCACAGATTGAATAATAGCTTGCAATGCTGCTGCAAACAAAGCGAGCAGAGTACTGTCTTGTATTAAAAAGGGAATGTACTGTAGAGACAAATCTATCATTTTGCCACTTTATAGATCGCTGGTTCGACCTCATCTGGAGTATGCGGTCCAGTTTTGGTCACCAATCCTCAGAAAGGATGTCCTTGAGCTGGAGAGAGTCCAGAGAAGGGCAACTAAACTAATTAAGGGGCTGGAGGACCAAAGCTATGAGACAAGGTTACTAAATTTAAACATGATCATGCTGGAAGTGAGATTAAGGGGGGACATGATTTTGATGTACAAGATGTTCAATGGGGATAGCAACATCTGCAATAAACTTTTTACGGTAAACTCCATAACAAAGACTGGAGGCCACCTTCTAAAGTTGGTGGAGAAAAGATTTAACCAAAAGGGGCATAGGGGCTTCATCTCAGTTAGAGCGATTAGGGTCTGGAACTCATTGCCACAAGCAGTGGTATCAGCTGAGAGTGTTGAATCATTCAAAAAGCATTTGGACAATTTCCTCAGAGACCGTAACATACAGGGGTACAGGTACCTGTAAAAAAACAAGATCACACATGGACTCATACACACACACACACTTACACATGCAGAATCCCATACATACACGCAATAGGTTGAACTTGATGGACCTGTGTCTTTATTCAACCTCTAATACTATGTAACTATGTGACTCCACCTCCCAAACTTTGCTCACATAACGTGTACCAGTATATAGGGGTGGAGGATAAGCTCATTCCTGCAGCTGACAGCTCAAATTTGTCAGTGGGCTCTTCCCAAACACCACCTACACGATGTCACTATATGACAAAGCTTCATGTCATTAGTCCTGATGGCGGCTGTGATTTGGGGATGAAGGAGTGTCAGATTAAGGAAGGGTGGTGGCAAATTAAAGGAGTTGGCCAGATAGTGCAAGGGGGAAATGTATGGTGAGAACAGTGCCTGCAGAGTGGAACAGCAGCTTGTCAGATTTTTACAGTATGCTACAGAAATGTTTCCCAACTCCAGCTTCAAAAGGTACACCCTATTAAAAGCAATATACATATACTGTTCACTGACACTGGGGCATATTTACCTCCCACTACCAGCGACACCCCAAGCCCCCACCCAACCTGAGAGCAGCCCACCTCAATTCAGAGATCTTAAATGAGAACTATGAGGTGAGTGCTTTTCACTCACCTCATAGTTCTAGCCGACCTGTGGCAATGAGACTGTCACATGTCGGCTCAGTAGATCAGCAAGTGAGCGAACACATACCGGCGTTCGCTCACCTCTCGATCCTGTCACAGCTGCCTGCCGTGACAGGGGAGGGGCTGGATTCCCCCTCCCCGCTCTGATCCACCAGCGCTGACTGGCGGACCGGATGGGGGAGGGGGCGTGTACAGCTGGCTCTGCCTCTAGATAGGAGCTGGGCGGATCCAGACATAATTGTCAGGATCGCTTCATCTGCGGCGTCTCAGTATACCGCGAGCTGTATCTCGCGGTATACGGAGCTTAGGGTGACGGGAGGACGCTAGTTTGTGTCCTCCCGTCACCCTAAGGAAAACTATGGGGAAAAGCCTTAACCCCATAGTTCTACTTTAACTATGCAGCCTGGCCTTAAAACACAGGGGGTCGCTCACTTGGCACAGCAGCCATTCAGAAAACTCCTGGTATTTTTATCAATAGATACAATGCAATGTAAGTATGCAAAATAATTTCAAAATGGAGTTTAGCTTTAAGGAGTATTTTGTGCAAGCAAGGACTGTGGCATATGGGTGCAATGTATACTGTGAATAGGTTCATATTTCATTTAATCTTTACTTTAGGTGCCAAAAGACCATGTTACGGCACTGTTCACAGCTAGAAACCCTTAAACAGTAAACATACAACAACCCTTTAGCCTACTCATTTTTTTTTACCAATTTGGTCAAATCACCAACAGATTCACTTTTTACAGGATTTACTCATTTGTCATTTGTCACCCTCCAGATTTTAATTTCTGTATGTTTCTCAGACTTTATGTAACTGATTTTCAAGCTAAGATGAACAATAACAAGCAAGGATAAAGAACAGTGCAGATCATTTGATTTTTTACCTACAGTACATACTTTTCTTGTATTTTACATAACTTTAGTTCTGTATTTTAACGTTTTGACCAGTCCATTTGGTTATGCTAAGCACAATAACTCAACAAAATAAGATAAACAATCCTGTTACATGCATGGATTTAATGTATGCCATTCTGCTATGCTGTTTGAGTACACTGAAGAAAGACTTATATATAAGAGATGTGGAAAAGCCCTAGTGAGTCATATAGTATACTGCCAGGCTACAATGCTTCCTACTCCTCTGCTGGCCCACACTATTAATTTTTCATAGGCATCCTGCATTAAAGGCTGGAGCTTTGCTTACCTTACACAACACGACAATGCTGGGTTGTGATTTTTCTGAGAAGTAATTTTAAGCGCTAGTGAACTGCCAATCGTGACGTGAACTGAAAACAAAGTGGGGGATATTTTACAGTTACTGCAGTGGCTGCTATTCTTTCCCATCTACAAGCAAAGCATGATTGCTCCTGGTATTCTGCTCTCAATTGCATATTTTTTTACATAACATATCACTAATGTATTTATAATTGCAAATAACATCAAGTATTTTGTACACCAGCCAAGGCTTTTATCACTGCAAAGTAAATGAATGATAAATGAGACCTTGCATAATGGGGTTGATTCATTTATCACCCAGATGTTTTCACTGCATAGTGACAGGACAGTGAGCACATACGTGTTTGTCTAAGTCCAGTTTGTGCATCATCGCTGCTGGATTTTACGGACTCTCCTAGACTTTCTACTAATAAATAGTGATGGGCTGAACACACTGGAACACAATTATATATATATATATATATATATATATCTGTCACACAGGTGTGGAAAAAATGGACTTTGGTGTTGGTGCTTCCACACTGTAACCCCTCATAGTTACTCTTGATGAGTGCAGGGATGGGCCTGCTGTAAAAAAAAATCAAATTATATATACCTATCACACACCTGTCCCCTTGTTGGCCTTTCAGACATGGTGTGGGGCGTATTCTAAAATTTTATTAGAGAATGTGGGATGGGAAATTGGTGCTTGGGCGCATTCCATTCGGCCAGCTTCGGCTTTCAGCGTGGCTCAGTCGAGCCGATGCATATGCCTTCGGCTCGACTGAGCCGCTCTGCCAACTTCGGGAGCTGTACGGGCTATAGGGAATAGCCCGTACAACAGCCCTTCGGTTCTACTGAACCGAAGGGGTCCTGGGGCCGAAGCTAGCCGAAGGATCAGCCGAAGCTACGGCTAGATCCTTCGGCAGCTTTGTTAATAGACCACTGTATCTTTAAACTCTAATCAAATGGAGAACACTTCACAGAAGATGGAAGTTATAAACGTTGTCCATGGTTTAGGGATAACCCAACAAACCCAAATAACAATAGCAATTAGAGTTCAGGCTAGCTTCAGCCTAGCTGTAACCCTGAATTTGAACTAGGAACACTCCTGCTTATGGCAGTATCCATACACTAGCACTAAATATGCATGGTCAATGTACAGATATGCAATCTAGGATTTAAAAAAACATTTTCTGTTGATCAGCAGGTGCCAAATAGCCATGCTAAGCACATCAGTGCAAGTATTAAAGAAAATGCCTTATCCTTGTTTAAAGCTTTGTGAATTGCGTCAGAAAGAAGTGAAGTTAGAACTTCTGTTGGGTATACTTGTTCTGAGTAAGTGACTTAGAACGTTTGGTAGATAAAGGATCAGCATGACATTCAAGCAACTTATAAAACGATGTCAGTAATTATAGCCTATATTCAGGTGTCATGATCGTTTTTTTCCATGATTTGCATGCTGCAAAAACCTGCATTGAGTAAATACTCCTAACCCCTGATTCTGATTTTTAAGGGTAAATGTGCTTAGGCAATGTGATTTTTAGCTGATCCCTAAAGGGTTACATATCACAGGACATGATCTGTTATATTAATGTAACTAACTGCACCAATATTTTCTGTACTTTAAAATCCAATATAATTTATAAGTACTGTACACCTCTGTTTGTATTTAAGCAATCAACGCAATAGAAGTATTTTCTCTAGATATGCATCAATAAAGTAATGACAAAGAGCATGTTTCTAAGCCTTGCAGCATAATTGGACAGTCAGCAGTCTGGAGTTCCATAGCAATGCACAGCTTTCTGTTGCATTGTTCATTCATTTAGCTAAATATAGCCATTTTAGATCCTTTATTTCATCCTTCAGGTATGCTAAACATTCATGAAGTGATTTAGTAAATGAGGCAGGCATTACGACGCCCCTGTTTTCAATATTTCTAGGCTATGGTTATTTATTTGATTTTCTCTATATAATGTAACATCTTCCACAGAACTACACAAAGATCAGACATACAGAAGATGTAACAATGACAAACAAATAGCATAAATACATGAACCTATAAACATAAAACCAAGGTACATCATGATTTTATTTGCTTGGTAGAGGAGGATGATGCTACCGGCAAAGTATTCTACAGTTTATTTCATTAATGCATTTTATACATTTTAGCAGCATTTGGCTAGCTGTAAGATTCTATGGATATGTGTCACTTTAGGCAACAAACTGCATCATGTTGTGTCGCTTTTCAGAATACAATACACCTGAGGCATAATGGATTCTTCACGCTGTTTTCAGACTGACTTTGGTTTGTTATTATTTTACATGTACGTCTATAATATTCACAAAATAAATGTCTATGTACATATAAACTGTCATAAGCTTATCGGAGCTAAACATATCTGGGATGCAGCTCTGATCATGGGGAGGCATGCTTTACCACACATTGCAGACTGCAAGCAACCACTGCAAAGAACACTATAGGTATTTGAAACAATAGATTTCCTCTTGATTGAATGGACCTGAAAAGATAGTTTGAAAAAAGAAATAACATCTGAGTACAGAAAACACACACCCATGCATACACTGTGTGTGTGAGAATTTACAATATATGTCTATATACATATATACACACTGTATATACACTCACTGGCCAATTTATTAGGTACACCTTGCTAGTACTGGCTTGGATCCCTTTTGTCTTCAGAACTGCTTTAATTCTTTGTGGCCTTGATTCAACAAGGTGATAGAAACATTCCTTAGAGAGTTTGGTCCATACTGACATGATACCATCACACAGTTCCTGGAGATTTGTCCACATCCAATATGAGAAGCTCCACCAGCCTGAACCATTGATACAAGGCAGGATGGATCCACGCTTTCATGTTGTTTACATCAGATTCTGACCCGACCATCCGAATGCCGAACAGAAATCGAGGTTCATCACACCAGGCAACATTTTTCAAATCTTCTATTTCACAATTTTGGGGAGCCCTTGCAAACTGCAGCCTCCGTTTCCTGTTCTTAGCTGACAGAAGTGGCACTCGGTGTGGTCTTCTGCTGTTGTAGCCCATTTGCTTCAAGGTTCAATGTGTTGTTCAGAGTTGCTCTTTTGCATACTTCGGATGTAAGGATTTGTTCATTGAGTTACTGTTGCCTTTTTATCAGCTTGAACCAGTCTGGCCATTCTCCTCTGACCTCTGACATCAACAATCTTTTTGCCAGCACGGTGAAGTAACCATATATCAAATGGCATTATTTTCACAAACCTAAAGAGAACTGTTTGATATAAACATTTAACCCAGCCTTTATAGTTTCCCAACCTGCAGCCCAGGTGCTAGTCCTTTGGCCCTTGCGTGGCCCCTGGGACCCTTGCACACAGTGTGTTTTCCTTACCTAGGTACTTACTCTGGTCAGTAAGGAAAATATTCTTTAGACTGTCTTCTAGTAGTTGAATGGTTTGGTTTATTTCTTTCAGACTTTTTCTGTGCTTTCCATTCCTGATCCTTTCTTCCGCTGATCTTTTTATACAGATTTTGCTGAGAAAAACCTCAAAAGTGGCACAAGTAATTTTTAAAAGAGATGTAAGGATCAAAAATATTGAAGCAGTGATATACAATAGTGCTTAATAAGCAGTGATCTCTAGCAGTTTTATGTAATGTGTTTCCAGTCTGAAGCAATCACTGAGTATTATGTGCGGCCCTCTGGTAATGTCAAGGGCTGCACTTGGGGCCCCCTATATCAAGAAAGTTGACTGCTAATGATCTACACAATAGTGCTTTATCAGTTAACAATTAATCTTCATAAAATGTGCATTTTTATGACTTTAAAACGGCTTTTAACACACTTACTTGTGTCTAAATACGGCATTTGACACACTTACATGTGCGTAATAAAATTTGACATGTTCTCTACATCAAGTTTCAAAAAAGTGCTGAAAATGAAGCAGTAAGGAGAATGTGGTCAAATTTGGATTTTAGGTTTATATATAATTGCTGATATTTTAGATTGGGATTATTACATGGGAAACATTTTCTGCTACAAAAACTGTGGAGGAAGTATATGGTCTTTGGATGTGCTTTCTAATATATATTAGATTATGATAAGTGAGAAACTTCATTCTGCTTAGGGACTTGGTTATTAAATGATCTGTAATTCACAGGAAGAGCCTAGGAAAAATCTATAATGGACCAGACCATACAAATAGACTTAAAAACATTAGGTGCACTCTGGAGACCTAAAAGCTGATTTACCTAGCTTATCTTATTTCCTCCAGTTACACCTCCCATTCACCATACATAGAGTCATTACACACAGCCTTGATGTGATCAGACATTCACTAATGTCACTTTCATAGCAACCGCACACATCTTAAAGTGCCTGTAGATATAATTACACTTTTGGCTGGATCAAGCAATAATCTTAAGACTATGGATACCTTTAAAATACTGCTTATACTGCTAGAGGAACATACTCAGGATAAAATGCTGGGATTTCGTGGATTGTCCCTTCCTCTTAAGCTGTTGTTGATGGACGTCTACTACTATGATACATTTATGTTTATCCACATAATTTTATTTGCAAATTGTGCTACTGTCTGTGTCTGCATTTATCATACCATGCAGTTTTGGTGATTGTCAGTGTTTTTGCTGTCAAACAGGTATACTAAATATAGATTTTATAATATTGAAATAAGTTATAATAAAAAAAGATTTTTAAAGTGCACTTTATGTTACTATATAAGCTATTTAAAAAGTGATAAACTACAAAAAAACAAGTGGTTTGTGCATCACTGGAGAACAAATAATTACCATTGCTATCTTGCAGAACTTGGACCCTTCAGGTTTCTCTGTCTACATAGAGTTTGTATGACCTCCCCATTTTTACACAGGCCTCCTCAAAAAAATACTATATGCTTTTCGCACTCAGTTTTAGCTGCCCGGATTTCTAGTTTGCATTTTTTGTTACATTCTTTGTAGTTAAGGAACGCCAATGCCATCTCCTCCGTCTTATATTGTA